GTAGGAGTGGTAGTAGTAGTAGTAAATTCATTATAATTTTAGTCGACAGTTAATACCCGTTTTTATCAACAGAATACATACTTTAAAATAATTCAAGACAAAAATAGTACATCTTACTATTTTCTAATTTGTCAGAGTAAACTATTAAGGGTTATAACAACCCACACACTCAAGCGTTAGATAATTCAATTTCAACTTTCTCTTCTTTAATGAAGTAAGAACGTATGTACAGTATATCACTCACTTAACTAAAATGACAAAAGATAATGAAAAACATGACTAAATCTATCCTACATACTTTATTTTATTCTTAATAACGAGGAAAATAAATTATATCGCGACATTTTAAGACTAAAGGCACCCAAAGATCATCCTTGTCTAAGATATCGTAAAGTCGCGGAGAAGGCACAGATATCTAGACGTGTCACCCAAGATAGCGGACACACTGCTCACCCACATTAGGCCAATTCATCGGAACTAATGGGGAATAATTAGGGCTAATCGGAGCATTGCTGCATAATACTGTCTGTCGCCGGTGTGTGTGTGTAAGCAGTACACCTTTTCACATATCCGTTGAGACATTGTTACATAACTATTTGACAAATTTCATAACCGAATGACAGAACACATATCGAATGACAATCTAAAATAACTGTCGGTGGTATGTCATTCTCCAATTGTTACATTCTCAAACTATATGTAGACTGTCGGTTTATTGTTCACGTCTGTCAACTTCATAACTCATGTCAATCACTTCCGTTAGCATGAACGAACAGTTATTTTAGATTGTCATTCGATATGTGTTCTGTCATTCGGTTATGAAATTTGTCAAATAGTTATGTAACAATGTCTCAATGGATATGTGAAAAGGTGTAGTCGCCATAAATATGCAATTCGTTCATTCCTTGAGTAGTGAACATAAATGATCGTATGTGTTGAGTGATCGTGTCCGTTCAATAGCTCATATGTTTTGTCGTACGTCACATTTGTTGGGTAAGAGACATGTGTTGACAAGATGAAGCAATGAAGAGTACTCAAGTGTATCGCCTCTTAGAGTCCTCTTGACCCTTTGAGTACGATGTTTAACCCCCCTGAGTACGACGACTTAACCCCCTGATGCGATGACTTAACCCCCTGATGCGATGACTTAACCCCTTGAGTACAATAATTTAGCCCCTTAAGTATAAAATTCTTGTGAAAGACAATGTCCAGAGATAGACAGACAGATAGAAAGACAGACAGACAGACAGACAGACAGACAAAGAAAGAATAAGAATGAGATAAAAAAAATACTGTTGTACGAAAGACTATAAATGAAAACAATTTCATATTAACACAAAAAGTTTTACCATTTCTTATATGTAAAATTTTGTATCTGTTTTTTACTTCTCTTGTAATGTTTCAACAAAGTTTGGTGAACATTTTCTCGTGTTTGCAGAATTTGATTCATATTTTCGATGAAATAAAATATAAGAAAATAAAAATGGAAAAAAAATGTTAAAACTAAAGTGTCATAAATCGTGCGTAAAGTGTTATACGACTGTGAGCCACGTGTCAACAACCTGAGGAAACTATAAAAATAACTATGAGGAAAGTATAAAAATCTGAGAAGTAAAAAAAATACGCAAGGAAATAAATAACTGCGAGGAAAGTGTCAAGAATCTCATTGATTTCGGGGTAAAAGAAAGGTTGAATAAATAAGATGGTTTTCACCCCTTGTTTGGAGAGGGGAAGGGGTAAACAGGGTCTTTAAGCGGCCGTCGACGGGTAGTTAAAGGTGTAGTTTGTGTGGCAATGGGTCGTGGAGGAGGGGGGCAGGCGTTGTGTTGACCAAGGGGTACCATTGGTACATTACGAGTAACACTGTACACAAGGGGTAACATTGTACACAACGGGTAGCACTGTACACAAGGGGTAACACTGTACACAAGGGGTAACACTGTACACAAGGGGTAACACTGTACACACGGGTAACACTGTACAGTGTGTACACACAGGGTAGCATTATACACACAGGGTAGCATTATACATACAGGGTAACACTGTACACTCGGGGCAACACTATACACTCGGGGCAACACTATACAGACAGGGCAACACTATACACACGGGGCAACACTCTACACACGGGGCAACACTGTACACTCGGAGCAACACTATACACTCGGGGCAACACTATACAGACAGGGCAACACTATACACACGGGGCAACACTCTACACACGGGGCAACACTGTACACTCGGAGCAACACTGTACACTAGGGGCAACACTATACACACGAGACAACACTATACACACGGGGCAACACTATACACACGGGGCAACACTATACACACGGGGCAACACTATACACACGGGGCAACACTATACACACGGGGCAACACTATACACACGGGGCAACACTATACAACATATACGTGTTCGACCTCGATAACACCTCGAGTTTTTCCACCTTACGTAAATGTGAAAGACCAGCTTTTTTGATGAGCATGTTGTTTTGGGATAATTTCTTCTTCTTCTTCTTCTTCTTCTTCTTCTTCTTCTTCTTCTTCTTCTTCTTTTATTAGTTTATGTTATTAATATTTATTTTTCTATAACTTATGCCACTTGCTGTTACCTAACCTAACCTAAGTCTACTCTAATCTCACCCAACCTACCCTGCCCTAACTTAACGTTAACTTGACCTAACCTAACTTCAATCTACCCAAACTTA